GAGGAGGGAGAGGATGAGGGGGAGGAGGAAGGGGTGGAGGAGGAGGAGGAGGAGGAGGATGAGGAGGAGGAGGGGAATCCGCAGATCAGGGCGAGCTCCGGTGCGACAAATTGGGGAACGCGGGGACGGCCCCCCCGCGCCGCCCGCCCCCTCACCCTTTCCCGCGGGTGCTGGGGAAACCAAAGCGACTACCCGATAATGCACCCCAACTTTGCGGCTCGCTCAAGGGGTTTGGGGGAGGGGGAGGGCGTCTTAGAAGGAGGCTGCGTCTCAGATGGGCGCCGGCCCTACAGGTACGGACGAAGCCCGCGCCTTCCAAGAAGCAGCTTCCTTCCAGGAAGCCCTCCCCCTCCCCCGTACCCCCCGTTGTGCATGGCCGACGACGGGCACTGCAAGCCAGGTCTCTGCCAGCTCCGGCGGGGGAAAGAGGACCAGGGATGGATTCCTCGACACTGTTTGGCCCCAACGTTTACTCATGTTGCATTTTCCGCGGGCATTGTCTGTCACGACGCGCCGCTATCCGTGTCGAATCCGTGTCGAATCCGTGTCGAGCGCGACGAATCCGTGTCGAATCCGTGTCGAATTCGCGTTAAACCCACGGCGGAATACAAGCAACGACTGTCATCTGCAGGACAGGAGGTGACTCGAAAATGCAAAGTGATATGATTGCCCCCCCTTCTGCTCGCCCGAAAGGCCCACAGGCGCTCCTGGGACTTCCCTGGAGGCCCCTGGTGATGGCGGCTTCCATGTGGTCAACCCGGAAGATCCCGCAGAGGCGACGGCCAGGCCGTCGTCGTCGTCGTCGTCGTCGTCGTCGTCGTCGTCGTCGTCGTCGTCGTCGTCGTCGTCGTCGTAGTCGTGGTAATCGTCGTCGTCGTCGTCGTCGTCGTCGTCGTCGTCGTCGTCGTCGTCGTCGTCGTCTGCGGCGGCGGCGGCGGCGTCGACGCTGGCGTCGACGCTGTCGGCGTCGTCGTCGTCGTCGCCGCCGACGTGGTCGCTGTCGTCCTCGCCCGCATCGCCCCTGCTGTCCTCGGCACCGACGTCGTCGCCGTGGTCCCTGTCCTCGCCACGCCGTGTTCGTGTTCGTCGACCTCCTCCTCGTCCTCGTCGTCGTCGTCCTCCTCTTCCTCCTGAGCATTCTCCTCCTCCTCCTCCTCCTCCTCCTCCTCCTCCTCCTCCTCCCGTGCGGAGTCCAAAAAGCCTGCAGCGCCCAGCCGCGCACGTGTCCCCCTGGGCTCGGGAGGCCGCCCTCATGTCATGGACGCTACTGCATTGCCCTACGCCCCCTGAAGACCACGTGAATTAATCACAACATCATGGATGAAGTTCATTAGACAGCTCCTCAACTTTGTCGAAGGCAAGTGTGTGCGCTCGTGCTTGCTTCGCTCATGACCCTCTCGTATCGCCTGAGAGGAACGTTAAGCCTTAGAGTAGGACAGGCTCAGGGGAGAAGAAGCGACGAGCTGGAGTCGGCGACACATCGCCGATCAATCGGCGACAGGCCTCCGATTGCGAAGCCGCACGTTCCTAGGCGGGGCGGGCTGTCGGGCCGCCCTCGGCGAGAAGTGGGCGATTAGGGATCGACGTATCTCCCCCTGAGCCAATGCCTCCTGGCCTTGCCCCCGGTCTTGGATTTCGGGTCTTCGCCCGGACCTTTGGCGGCCGCTCGGGACGATCTGGGCAGCCCCAGAACGCTCTCGGCGAGGCGCAGCCGCTGGAGAGCATCCCGAAGCTGGAGCACCGCCGCGAATCCCAGACCCCCGACGTCACGATTTTCTCATTACGCCGACACCCAAAATTCTCAACCCATTCCCCATGACCGGCTTCCCACCCCGTCTCGTTTTTTGACGGTCCCGAGGCCCGGCGAGGGCCCGCAGGGCCCGAACATGGCGAAACACCTCCCGTCGCGATTTTTTGATGACTCCAGGAGGTCTGGGATCGACGAGAAGACCCGAAAACCTGACACTTGAAAACTCCGCCCCCCCCCCCTACCCAGACCCCCGACGTCATGATTTTTTCATGGCGTCGACCCCCAGAGATCTCGACCCATTCCCCGGGACCGGTTTCGCATCCTGAGTCGTTTTGTTGACGCTCCCGAGGCCCGGTGAGGGCTCCCGGAGGCCGAAAATTAGGAAACACCTCCCGTCATGATTTTTTCATTACTCGAGGGGGTCTGGGTAATTAGACACCAGCGCTGACCTTCGTGGGCGAGCAGGATGCCACTTCCGCCGACAACCGCCACCTGCCCGCCACCTGGGTACTTCGCCCCTCCCCTCGCCAAGAGCAGCAACCTGCAGGGCGCGCGGCCTGGCAGTCGCCGCCGGGCGAGGTCACCGGCGCGTGCGGCTCCGGGAAGAGGAGGCCGAGCGGGGCGCTCTGGCGGAAGAGGCGCGGCTCCGAGGCCCTCCGGGGGCCGGCGGGGGCCCAGGGCCACTGCACCGCGGAGCCACCGCAACGTCCAGGTTCACAGAGGCAGCACTTGGCCTCCTCCTCCTCCTCCTCCTCCTCCTCCCTCCCTCCTCTCCCTCCCATTCCTTCCTCCTACTCCCCTCCTTCCTCCTCTCTCCTCCTTCATCATCCTCATCTCCTTCATACTCTATCCCCTCTTTCCCCCCTCCCCTCCCCCCTTCCATCCTCCTCCTCCTCCCCCCTCCTCATCCTCCCTCACCTCTCCTACTCCTCTCCCTCCTCCCCCTTCTTCCCCTCTCTTCTCTCTCCCCTCCCCCTCCCTCCTCCTCATCCTCTCCTCCTCCTCCTCCTCCTCTCGTTTTCCTTCCTCTACTCCTCCTACTCATCATCCTCCCTCCTCGTGTGCACCGCGGAACCACGGCAACGTCCAGGTTTCACAGAGGGCAGCACTTGGACACCTCCTCCTCTCATCCTCCTCCTCCTCCTCTCCTCCTCCCGCTCCTTCTCCTGTTCCTTTCCTCCCTCCTCCTCCTCCTCCGCCTCCGCTCCTCCTCCTCCTTTTCTCCTCTCTCATCATTCTCCTCCGTGTGCTCCTCCTCCTCCCTCCTCCGCGTCGCACGTGTCTTGCTCCCTCCTCCTCCCTCCTCCATCTCCTACTCCTCCTCCTCTCCCCCATCTCATTCTCGCACGAGTCCTCCTCCTCCTCCTCCTCCTCCTCCTCCTCCTCCTCCTCTTCAACCTCCTCCTCCTGCCCTCCGCCCATGCGGCGCCTGCGCCCCTTCGCCGTCCGAGCCGATTCGGTCGCTGAGCGAGCTAGCCGAATGGGCCCGTTTCCAGCGCGGCCCCTCACCTCCTCGCGTAACTCGTTGATGAACGGCTCGGGACGAAGAGGCGGTCCCCCAGAAGAGGCAGTCCCCCAGACGAGAAACGCCGCGAACACGTCGCGACGAAGGGGGCCTGGGGTCCAGCAGCTGTGCGCTCCGTCGCCGTTCGACTCGATCGCCTGCACTCACCTGTGCGGATGCTGCTCTGTGCTGCTACGTCAATGGTGGGGGGAATGGATCGAGCGGGAGGGCAGGAGTCGGCCCATCCTTCGCGGGGCTCGTAGGGAAGAAAGGATTGCGTCGTCAGCGGGTGGGGGCTCCGTGCGCGTCGGGGGGGGGCAGAACGGACGGTCGGACAGGTTGGCGCGGGGTGGGGGCTGACCCCTGTGGCTCCGGCTCCTCCTCCTCCTCCTCCTCCTCCTCCTCCTTTTCCTCCTCCTCCTGCGCGACGAAGAGTGGGCGCCTCCTCCTCCTGCGTGACGAAGAGTGGGCGAGCTACGGCAACCCCGTGTAGTCCCACACGAGCTCCGAACTGGCAGAAGAAGCCACGCCATCACGATCCGACCGCTCTTGCACTGTCGAACTTGTCTACAGAAGAGCGCGTACAATCGGACCCAGGAGGGAAGAATGTCCTTCAAGAACACGAAACCCTCCGCCAGCCAAAACACCCCAAGCCTTAAGATCACGAGGGTGCCCCCCCAGGATGCACCAGAACATCCGACAGGCACGGAGAGCATGAGGACACCCTCCCCGAGCCGTCCTCGATCTTCCACCTCGGCCCCACTGTCATCGAATCGGTCGGTGCTGCGTGCATTGTTGCGCATCACCCCCTCTACTAGAAGGAAGAAACCGCTGGCGCTCCGCGAAGATTTCTTGGATCTGCGCCGGCCCCCTCCTCCCTGGCGCGCGGAGCGCGCCGAGGGCGACGCCGGAGGCGCCGCCGGGGGGGGCCCAGCTCGGATCCAAGAAAGCCGCGCGGAGCGCCAAAAGTTTGTTTGTGGCGTTTTTGCTTCTTCGATCTACTCCTCGACCCCCTCTCCGACAATCCCCCGAAGGGAGGAACCTCCTTCGACGCCCTGCGGGGGTGCGTGGCCGGGACGGCGCAACCCAGTCCAGGCGCCGTGGCACGCGGAGCCGCCGAGCGCCCCCCCCGAATCCAGCGGAGGAGGGGGAGAGCACCGCGGGGGAGAGGAGAAGGGACGTCTGGGCAACCAGGGCTCGAGCGGAACCATGTCTGCGGTCTCGTTTCGGGTTCGCTCCCCTTGGTTCCGTCTTCGTCCCGCCTCTGCTTCGGAACGATATCAGAAAGACGCATAAGCAAACGGGCCACGACATCGCCAACACATTGCGAATCGCGGGCGGAGGGCGGGGGAGGAGAGACGGGGGGCGGCCCCACATGGTCTCCGAGAACCCTGGCCACCAACATGCCACACGTACGGTGGAGACGCTGTCATAAGGAGCCCTGAATCAAGAACGAGGCCCCTTTCTCTCCATAAGTTTAGCTTCGCCTTCCCATGGAAAATCTGAGGAGCACCTATCAACAACTGTGAAACAATCAAGGAGCACTGAGCCCTTCCCTAACGAAGATGGCTCCTTCTGCAGCTTCTTCGGCGGCCCGCCTGCATGTAGAGTGTGAAGGCGACGTGCCTCTGATCCGTGGTTTCGTAATTCGTTCTCTCTGCGGGCACGCCTGGCCGACTCCGTGAGACTCCCGGTGTGCCTCGCAGCCTCCCGCGCCTCCCGACTGGCCATCCCCGCGCCGCGGCTCCTGAGCAGCTCCACGACCTGCGCGTAGAACTCCAGGGTAGGGCCCAGGCCCGTGCCCACCTCCCCGGAGTACTCCACCTCCGCGGCAGGGGGCAGTGCAGCAAGAAGGCGTGACGGAGAACCGACGGACAACGGACAAGAGGAGGACGAGGGTGAGGAGAGGAGGGCGGCACTCGCCGGAGCAGCGGCGCAGAACAGCAGCCGAGGCGGCTCCGCCTCGTGCGCCGCCCGTGCAGGCAGTGAGCCCCTCGTCCGTCCCCAGCCCCACCGCAGGTGAAGCAGCGGGTCTGACGCGAGATGGCACAGCGACCTCACGCGCTGGCGTGCGCGGGCCGCCGGCACGGCACGCCACACTGGAAGCGGGGGCGTGCACGCTCGGCCTTGCGCGGGCAGCTTCTGCCACACTGTCCGTGCAGGCGGACCCGTCTTTCTTCGTCGCTCAGGGGGGGGCGCGCAAGCCCCCAAATGAGCCCCCAGTTGGGGGCGCGCAAGCCCCCAAATGAGCCCCCAAATGAGCGTCTTTCTTCGTGCTCCTCGAAGCCCATACGCTCCTCACCGTCTAAGATAGGCGGGGGCCTTCTCAGAACGCCCCCCCCCCTCGCCCGGACCCAGTCTTGGCAGCGTGCCATATCGGCATCGCTGACCCCTTATGGCTCTGTCGCTGCCCCGCCTGCTTGCTCCTTCTACTGGTCCCTGACGATGCCAGGGGATCGCCCTCGTGCGTGGCCCGCCAGAGACGAGAGCTGCAGTGCGCCAGAGACTGGGCAGGTGCCGCCGCTGCAGTGGGGCGTTAAGCACCTCGCCGTCGCGAAGGACGACGCACGGCGCAAGCTCGCGAGGCGGTGCAGACCCTGGCACGTGCACCAACCAAGCCTCACGAAGCCCTCGGCAGAGGGCGACCCTGCGGTTGCTGATGCTCCTCCTCCCCCAGGGACGGGGCGCCGGATGAAGCCCGGCGCCACCGCGATGGAGGCGCTCGGCAGGAGGCGAGCCCTGCGATGGGAGACCAATCTCAACAGAGGCCCTGGCGGGGGAGGGCGGCGGCGAGGCTCGACGAATGCCCCCATCGTACGATGCACAATGGCAAATTGTCCCAGACCGACAGCGGCCGCTGTCGGGCAAGCGACTGCCTGACTCACATGGGCCATGGCCGCGGCGACGCTGACAGCGAGTCCTGTTCACAGTGGACAAGAACTGCTGTCGGTCTTCGTCCCCATCCTCTCCGTGCCTATGTCTGATGGGCCAGTTTTCCACCGCCAGTACCATAGGAAGGGTATGGGGGAGAAGGGGGGATGAGGAGGTCCTCCTCCTCCTCCTCCTCCTCCTCCTCCATCTCCTCCTCCTCCCCCTCCTCCCTCTCCTACCTGTGGTAGCGGTGGTGGAAAATGGGCCCGTCCTACATCGGCCCTCCAGATGGACAAGCCCTGCAGTTAGACCCCCGCGCTGACCTTCGTGGGCGAGTAGGATGCCACTTCTTACCAGCCTGGAACATATCCCTATCCCTAAGCTGGGCATCGCCTCAACACAATGCCAATCTTAGGGATTCCCTGAGTTTTTCAGGGCGAACCCCTGAGATTGTCATCGCCTTTTGGCGTGTCAATCTCAGGGATAGGGACACGTTCGAAGCTGGTAAACCTCCGCCGACAACCGCGACCTCCCCGCGGCGAGCCCCCGCCTGGCATCTCGGTGCCGCCGCTCCTTCCGCGGGCCTTCCGCCGGCTTCCGCAGCCCCGCGGACCCTGAACGCTGGTGACTTTTGATGCTCCTGCTGTTGCAGCCTCACTCCTGGAAGTTTGCGGTTGGCCGCCCTCTGAGGGCCCTGGCGCACTGTCGATTGATCCCCCCCCGCCCTCTGAGGGCCCCGGCGCACTGTCGACGGATCCCCTCCCCCGCACGCTAACACCCCGCTTTGGATCCGCAAGAGAGTCGTCCGGCCCACACTGCGTTGTCGCCCGACGGATTGCCACAACCACGGCTCCCGCCTGAGACTTTCTCACAGCTGATTCTGCAATCGCGATATTGCTCGGGAAGTCCTTGCAACTTACTCAACAAGCGTGCTTTCGGTTTCAACTTTCTGATGCTTGATTCGAGGATTTACGCTCTTGCTGCTCTGATAATTTCTTGGAAGTCGGCGCGGATTTGGTGAATCGGCGGTGCACCCCCCTCCCTGGCGCGTGGAGCATGCCAAGGGCGGCGCCTGAGGCGCCGCCAAAGCGGCCCAGCACCCATCGAAGAAATCCGCGCGGGCCTCAGAGTACGTATGAATATGCAATGTTTGTTCTTCGACTCCTGCTCCCATCTCCCGCTTCGATCTGTCCAGCAGGGACTGGCCGTCCCGGCATTCCTATAGGCCTATAGGCCTACCACGAAATGCCCTTAGAACAGTAGAGTGTCCTAATGTTATAAAGAATGATCTTAGAAGCTGAAGTGAATGTATTGACTCAGGTCGGCCTCAGCCAGAACGATTCTACAAGCATCCAGTGCAAACCACACGAAGCTTTCAGAACATTGGTTGGCGAGCCTATGAGCAGAGGTCAGGGCGATTCGCCACTGCTCGGAGAAGGGCGAGTTGAGACAGTGGAAGATCAAGATCGACCCAAAATCGGTCTCCCAGGCCCCTCCAGGGGCCCAAACCCTCTCAGAGAATGGCACAGCGCAGCACAAGCACATTCATTCTTGAAGCAGGAAGGCGCTTGAAGAAGACTGGGACCTGGGAACCTTAAAAACCTACTTTCAGCGACTGGCGCGTAACCGCCGACTCCACATCCCTTATTAATCCGGCTTTTTAAGGCGCCTTTTTGGAAACTGGGAAGTCTGGTTTCTTAGGGCGCTTTCTTCGGATTTGAGCCTGGGGGGTCCAATTTATCAGGGCGCCCCGTCGACGAGGGGGGTCCGGAATATCAGGTCGCATTTGGAAGGGGTTCCAGTTTTTAGGGGGGGGTCGATAAAGAAGGGATTTGGAGTACGCGAGATGGCAGAGCGGCCTTGCGCGGTGGTATGCGGGCCGCCAGCGTGGCACACGGCGCGAAGAAGAGGTCCCGAACATCAGGTCGCATTTGGAGGGGGGTCCCGAATATCAGGTCGCATTTGGAGGGGGGTCCGGTTTTTTTGGGGGCCGGGTCGATCGAGAAGGGATTTGGAATCATGCTTGCCATCGCTCGGGCTTTCCCCGTGCCCTGCTCGGTCTCGCGCGTGCTGCGTCTCCGGAGGATCTAAGGTTTCGGTCGGGCATGTCCCCCTGCAGGCAGATCCTCGACGACAAAGAAGAAACACACTCCAAACATTTTCAGAACAAGAGAGAGACAGTAGAACAGCGTCCCCGGACTATTTCTTCCATTTTGGAAGATTCCTCCTGTGGAGGGACCTTGCCGTCGCTCGGACGTCCATTTCCCATGCACTTTTCGATTTCGTGCGTGTTCTTTTTGCTCGATGGTCCAGGATGGTCCTCGATGGTTCTCGCCGAGAAAAAATGCACACGTCCGAGCGATGCCAAGGGACAGGCCCGACTTAAGCCAAGGTGCTCTGGGATGGTCCCGAGCTTCTGGCGCTGGCCTCGCCGCGGCAAAAAAAACGCATACACGCCCGAGCGGTGCCAAGAATGGGCGGCGCGCCCTGGGGGGGCCGGGGCAGGAAGGAAGGCCTCCCAGAACTACGCCCAGGCCCCCTCGAGTACAGTCAAAAACCCTAATAAGGACGCGCGGGAAGGACGCAAGACCCTTGGAAGCCGAAGTTGGGATGTTTGGGGCGGCGGACGACGAAAACCTCAAGGACGCAAGAGCAAGGAAGAGCAAGGACGCAAGGGTACCCTGAGCAAAGTCGCGCGTCCGTATTAGGGTTTTTGACTGTAATGAAAAAATGATGACTGGAAGTTGTTCGCCATTTTCAGCCTCTGGGGGACCTCGCCGGGGCTCGAGATCGTCAACGAAAACGACTCAGGATGAGAAACCGGTCCCAGGGAATGGGTCGAGAACTCTGGGGGTCGACGTGATGGGAAAATCCTGACGTCGGGGGTCTGGGATTACACCAGAAGAAAACCACAATCAATGGATGCTTTGGAATGGGATCGGTAAAGGGATCGATAAAAAGATCGACCGGGAACCCGTGAACCTAGAACCCCCACCGAAATCGGACCAGAACCAATGACCAGGAACCTAGGAACCCAGAACCGGGAACCTGGGAACCCAGCCAGCTACCAAAATCGGAGGGAAACTTTCACCAAATCTTTCAACTTCCGCTCGGACTCCTTAAGTGCAAGCACTGATTGGGGAATGAGGCGGCTTCTTAGAACGCGCCAGCCCTACATCTGTAGAGAAAGCTCGAGCCTTGTAAGAGGCAGAGGTTCTTCTGAGAAGCCTCCCCCGGACCAACATGAATCGCATCGGCGGAAACCGGCCGCCATTTCTGGAGAAGTCGATTCGGCAGAAATCTGCAGGCTGGCAGGCCTCCATTATTGAGGAATCGGAGTCCCCATCGAAATCCGAAGTCGAATCGAAGTGGAAGCGGAACGAACCGAATCGAATCGGAGGAGTCGAAATGAGCCCCCTACCCCCCTCTGCACAGACATCCGACCGCTCCAATTGTTTTTCGATGCGTGGGCCCCGGAGGTCCGGACCACTGCCCTAGGGCCCAGAGCCATTTCTTGACGGTCCCGAGGCTCGGCGATGGCCCTGGGAAGATGAAAACGGCCCGAAATCGCCCGCTCCTGGGGGCACCAAAAGGTACCGATATCGCTACTCCCCAGACCTCTCCCAGGGTGCGTTCTGACCAGGATGTCGAGGCGAATCCAGCAGTGGCGACGAGGGCCTCCCAGGAGGCCTAACACGAAGGGAAAACGGGTGAGGGGCTTCAATTTCGATACGGGTACTTTTTCCTCTTCTGAGATCCAATTTTGTAGGGAGCGTCGGACCTCTGGCTGCGAGTGGCCGACAGCATCCGGCGGCCCAAGGCGCGAGCCTGCTGGCGCGCGCGCGCGAGGCCGGCTCCGCAATCGCGCGCCCGCG